TCTCTTTATGCGTTGACGTGCACTAGCGACTGAATCCCACTAGACCAGTTCTTTCCAGCAAACTGTAAGAGTTCCCCCAGAAGTTGAAGTGAATTCATTTACCTGAGTACCAAATTAAGTTTTCGAAGGGCTCCAAACACATGACTTGACTACCGAAAGTAGAAATAACAAATGACTTCCCCTCAGCGCCAGAATGACATCCACTCCGAGGTCGCATGTAGCTATGCAACCCATTCAAAACCACCTTCAAGATCTCAACTCGCTAACTGTCATCTCGAGAAATCCCAGCACAAGAAATTCAATTTAGCCAAACGTCCTGCAACCAACTTTCAAAAACCAATAGTGGAAGAGATCGACCCCGTCAAAGTCAGATCAAAAAACTACAAGCTCACTATCTAATCAATCAACCACTTCACTTTGGTTGGACGGAGTTTACAATTAGGCAGCTTCTCAGCAGTGCCCCAGCAAGGAACCCGGCTTCATACCAAGTATGCCACACCGCTTCATTCGTTTAAATGACATTCGCACTAAAACCAGACCATCTGAAAAGAAATGCAGCCCCCACAGGCCGAACCAATTAGCCAAACGCATTCTTCCCTCTCCCTCCAGTTCCCAATGACTGTTACTGACTCTAACAAAGAGACAAAAGAAAATAGTTTATTTCAAATGAATACTTACAAAACACAATCGCCCGCAACATTTGGAGAATCGTCAGCTTATAATAGATTTTTTTTAACATTTCAAATGACTCAAATTTCCACTGGAAAAGTTAAGTAACGCGGCAACTGCTAAGGATTATACAAAATTAAAAAAAAAAAACAGAAGCGAAAACAAAATATCAAATAAAAACAAAAAAAACATTTAACGGCGTTTGAACAAGGTTAAATAGTAATAAAAGAAGTATGCAACAGCGAGAACATAGATGGAATACTATAGCATCAACTATAAATATACCTGAGCGAAGACGTGCAGTGCGAACGGAACAAAAGCAAAGATTCAAAAACGTTAAAGGTGCTTTAACTACTGGCAAGGGCGTCCTCTTTTATATAGCGTCGCCATTTATACCAAGTTCAAATTAATTTAGGCTCCAACAATGTGAGCGTACCATCATCATTATCATAATCATCATCACTATCAAGAACATAATCAACGGCTTAGAGCCCAAAAGAGGAAAAAAACGCATACCGCACACTCAAACACACACGCACACATACACACAAAATGAAAACAAAACAAATTACGAAAGAAGTAACTGGACTTTTAGTTAACTAATATATGGTATTCAGAGGGAAAAAACGGGGAGGATCGACTGGCCTATCTAGCTGGAAAGGACATTTGAGTGATCTCCTTTTTAATTTCAGCAGGCGTTACTTTTTCAAGGCAACCCCTACTTCTTTTTTCCAAATTACAATGAAACCCCGAATCATCACAGCTCTCATCATCCGTAAATCGCATGACCAAAGGCAGAAGGAGGAACAAGTACAACACAAGTCTTTTTTTAGGCGAAATTTGTGAAATTTGGAATGACTTTTGGGCACAAAAAATGGGCATTCCGAATCTGCCCAATGGTTACCGAAAAAAAACCATTATCATCATAGTTAAGCAACGACAAAAATAAAGATGTATTTTCAACAACAGAGATTGAAACCAAAAAAGCCTTCAACGAACTAATCCAGAAAAACACCAAGTTTTACAGCTGTATATGACCTCGTAATCAATGGCACCAAGAGAAAACAAAAAAAATACACATATATTAAAAAAAACTAAGTTTCGTAAAGAAAAAGCAACAGATTGCTTTAAGCCTCCGTTGGACCCACTACTGAGCCAATAAAAATTTTTTTCCATTTCCTTTTATCGAAATTCTTTTTATAACAAGACACTTCCAAAGTGAAAAACGTATAGAATGCTCACCAGTTACTCTCCATCATGTACCTAAACTGTCAGCGATCAACAATGATATCCTTACAGAAATCTAAATAAAAGGAATCTCGACCTTTACAGACAGAAACCAAGACCTGCCAGTGCACAAGATATCGAAAGAAAATGGATTGAGCATTCTAAATACGATAAGTGCAAACTAACAAGACTAGAAATGAATTCTCCACCGGGGATGCACATTAAAAAAACCACAACAAAAAAAAAAATAAACAAAAAGGTGATTCTCATAACGATGAAAAAAGGAAGAGGGAAACCGGCATTAATAAAAAAAAAAAAAAAACAAAGTTATCACATAAAAAATACTCAACAGAAAGCAAGCTTGAAATCTAAATAGTGAGATTGAACTCAATACAACTGAATAAGCCATCCAGAATTCGGCTCTCAACAAGTTACCCCGATTAAACAGTAATTAAGATTTCTTTTCAGCGCCAAAATTGGTATCATTTAAGCTGCTAAATGCAAAACAAACCCCAAAACTTTAGATTAAAGGCAACTGGTAAAAATTACACGTTCATCGGCTCGCTAGCAAATTAAAAAAAATTGTTTCAAGTACGGCATCTACCTGTGACGCAATACGTTCCCATTATTCAAGCAATCATTTTTTAAAAATTAAACTAGGGAGACAGATCCTAAAAAGCTTTCCAAAACACCTTACAGCTTAAAACTGTTTTCTGACAAACAATTAGTGTAAGACACTTTAGAACAGTCAACCTCAAACTTTTTCGTCATGATTTTAACAGCAAATGACAATTAAACAGCAACAACTATAAAACTTGACTGCTATAATGGGCCCTCGCAACGGAGATTTTGAAGCAGAATCATTAAAAAAAAAAAACAAAGACTGAGAACATAAAAAAAAAACAAGAAACGACACCTATGGAGCTAAAATGGTTCAAAAAAAAAAAAAAAATGCTCCAAGACACAATTTTTGCTTCATCATTAGCAACATTAACAAACACTTCAAAACGATTTGCACTTGCAATAGCAAATAGACCCTTATTTAATGTCCTGGCAGATAATATTACGCGCACTACTCGTTGCTAAAATTAATGAATTACAGCAGCTGTCCATCACCTCCGGCTGCAATAATAAGGCATTTACGCGATCGCTGCAACACGCAAATAGCTCACACATACCGAGTGACACGAATCAGCTCCTCAGGCATGTGCACCTCTGGATGCAATCACGTCAGCTAACGTCGGTGTCTGCTGTAGTGGCATGTTGCCACTTTGGCTCAGAGCCAACAAAGATGAAACCGCATTTTGTGCCACCATCCCATTACCAGCTGATGCTAACAACCGATCATTTACACTTCCAGCACCTCCTAACAGCTGTTGCTGACCAAGAGTTCGTCCTTTAGGACCATGTCCCCCTACGTTCGATGATGAACTTTGTTCTCTAAAATATTCCAAAACAACTGAAACTGCAAATATACGTGAATTTCTACTTCAAAAAAACTTCTAATAAAGCACGGAAACGAATAAGGGAAGACGAAATAAAAAACTCCAACAAAATTAATCCTGTACAAAAACAAATATTCAGCAGTTACCCATTGGAGTCCATCGAAGAATCCACTTCCTGCATTTGTCGTTGCTGCTGTTGCTGTTGTTGTTGCTGCTGCTGTTGTTGCTGCTGCGACTGTTGTTGATTTGCCATATTCGTTGCAACTGCAAGTACACCACTGTTATGCGTTGCTTCATGACCCATTTGTTGTGACCGTTGCCGGAACGCTCTTCCACAAAATTGACATGGAAATGGCTTCGCTCCTAGAAAGGAGTACTTCTACCAACTCTGGCTACAGATACGAAGGATGTGTTATGAATCGGCGAAAACTGCACCAACTGCGAAAACCGAAGTCGAACTCTTTTTTTTCGTTTTAGCTAAAGACGTGGATGTGAGCTGTAACCAGCTTGAACTGCGAGAAAAGAAAGCGAGTTTCTTCAGGTCTAGCTAAAGACGTGAATGAGGGCTGAAATCAGCCTGCACTGGATGGGTCCTCAGTTCCGCAACATAAGAACTTACGGCGAACACAACCCAAAGTGAATTTCAAAGACCCAAAAATAAATTAAAAAAAAAACCCTCGTTGGACATAAAAAATATTTCAGCATATCATAGCCAGTACACTATTACAGAAAAAATCTAACCTGTATGAATCCTCTCATGCTGATCTACATGCGACTTTTGAGTAAATTTTTTAATACAATAGTGGCACTGATAGGGACGGTCGTTTGAATGAATCCTTAAATGCTGCTGCAATCCTCCCCTTGCTTTAAATCTTTTCCCGCATTGCTGGCACTCGTGCACCCGAGTTATTCGACATTCATCCATGTGTGCACTCAACTAAAAAAGCACAACAGCTAAATAATGTGGAACCTGCAGTCTAACAGCTTCTATTTCTTATATTTTTTTTTCGGAAGCGACAGAAAAGACTCACCAAGGCCTGGTCAGCCCACTTCTTCGGACAGTAATGACATTTCATAAGTCCATCGTGGGGAGTGGAACGATGACGCGAACGACCCGGATTGCCTATTGATGAACCACTTGTCCTATTTGGTGACTGTAGTTGGGATGTCGTACAACTATTCGAGCCATTCGGACCCTTATGGTCCTGACGTTGATATAAACTTGCTAAGGTACCTGAAGTGCTTGATTTCATCTGAGCCTCAGTGATCTCAATTGAAAGGTAAAGCCAAACAAGTAAACTACTCTGAAGCATTTTTCCAGGTTACATCCAGAGCGTGAAAAAATGTCCGGCTGTTCACAAAACATATCACTTTGCTACCCCAAACTTTTACAGTCGAGACGAAAAACTCAAATAATTACACTTTTCCAATAACAAGCCTTTCAATTGAGCAGTGGCTGATCAAATTTACAACCAGACATCCTCCAAATGAAAAAATAGAAAATATCAATGGAAAAATGCTATCTAAAATGAAAAATTTACTCATTGACGCTGATGAAGTAAATAAGTGATCACTAGAAGTCCCTGCTCCTAAACTGGCATTCTGCATCTGACTGATTGGATTGATTCCAAGTATGCCGCTCATATCAAACGACGCTTCTGCAAAATAACTTGTTTTCATAAAACCAGTCATTTTAAAAGCAACACGATCTCCCCAAAACGCAAAACAACCATGTTACCTAGGCTAAAATTTTTGCAAACTTATTATAGTGTTATTGAAGCAACATGCAGTGAGACTAGAAACAAAGTAGAATGCGACCTTAAACAATCGTAGTTAAATTCCACGAAAAAAATAACAAAAAACCTTGTTTTGGACCTTGATTGCTAAGAAGGCCGGTGACGTCGATTGGCGATACTGAAAACTTACAATTGAGAAAAATTTTTTAGGGTGAAATGAAGTATGATTCACTCGACAGAAGGGGCAAAAGACTGGTGAAGAAAAAACAAAAAAGGTAGAGAAGATGTAACTACCAAACTCAAATGGAGAAGGGACGAAAAGATAACTGTTACTACTTTGCAAAATGAATAGTTTACATTATAAGACGAAGCGTTACCTACAGAGTCAATGTCAGTTAAATGAACGAGTTTTGATGATTTTCATCTTCACTACTCCTGTGCAAAATAACGCGCATTAAAACTCCAAACTTCATAAAAAATTTTTTTTGGTTACCAAAATTTTTTCTTCAACACGAGGAGAAAAAACTCTCAAGTATCTTTCCGAGTTGCGTTGGAGAACTAACTTTCTAACAAAAAATCAATGAATTCTATAACTCAGGAGTTTTTACAATCCTTTGCAAGAAGCAAAAAGTTACCGAGTAAATTTCAACAACAACAACAACGGACAACAATGTTCAATGATACGAAATGCCCTAGTCTGGTAATTTTAATAAAAGAAAGTACTGGACTATCACTACGGGTTTGCTACGCTCGAAACTGCTTGACCGCGTTTTACTGAATTTAGAATTATCTCCCGATAATATGCCTCAGAAAAGAAGCTTGAACACAGTACCGTCTCCGCTGTCGTCCCGATGAGCATTCCCTGTGTTAGCACCTGCCCCATTCGTTAACCCACGCACATTCGGCCGTCTATTTCCACGAACGATTTCCGACGAAGAGGGAGAACATGACGTTGGCGATATTTCACTAGGGGATTCTGATAAATTTTCTCTTGCACTAAAACCTTTTTTGTCAAAAATAAAACGGCTGACTGTTTCTGCTTCTTTTTTTTCCTCGCAGGAAAAAAAGAGGAAGCAAAAACAGCACTTTTGGTCGAAACAGTACTCTAACCCTTACGACTATTACATGTGAAACGGTGTGTAAGAATCGAGTTAAGATTTACCCATTAACGATGACTTGAGTGTGATGCTGTGCCAACGACAACCCACTAAGCCTACTGTGTTCACCACCACTCATCTTAAGCATTGCCTGTTCTTTAGCAACAATGCTCGCTATCATATCCAAGTCTTGAAACTGAAACGTTGTTAGCTTCAAACGAATAAAGAAATAAAACTGATTCACTTCTGTTAATTATTAAAAAGTAGAACGAAAATTATGCAGTCAACAGCAACTTCCAACAAAATCAAAACAAATAACTGTACTTCATTAACCGAATAAAACTAAATGGCTCAATACGCCTGTTTAAAAATAAAAAGTGAAAAATGAAAAGAAAATAACTCATTCCAAAGTGTGAGAAAACAAAAAAAGAAAGTTCAATAAAAGAACTTCCAAGAAAATACCTAAGTGCGAGTGAGGAAATAAGTGCCTATGATAAAAAACATTTCTTTTACTACCACTGCTACAAAAATCATATAGGAAATTAACAAAAACAGTTATGAGCAGTACCCTTTTGGTCTTTCTTCCGTTTGTCAATCTGTTCGCCTTAACTAACCAGAGAATTTTTCCTTTCAATCTACATTTGCTTCACCGTTGTCAATAAACTGAAGCCATCAAAAAAATTACCACAGCAGAAAAAAAAAAGAATAATTTCCAAAAACCTAAAAAAATGCACCTGAAACCCCAAACTTCTGCTGTTCACATATACAATCCAACACTAAAATCCTCAAAAGTCATTGTTTTCAAAAAAAAAAAAAAAAAAATAATCGTCATTTTGTTTGCAAACGACTGGCTTATGTAAAAAAAGTAAGTCAGCTTCTTTATGTGAATTAAACTAATTCTAACGGTAAAAAAAAAGTCCCTCGTATCTTTCAGGCACTACGTAAAAACCAAAAATTGCTAATGTACCGTATCTTCACCACCTTCCACCGATGCTGTTTGATCTTCATCCCAAAATGAAGTGAAAATAAATCCTAACTAATACAGACACTTTAGAATATAAAAAGTCAGTGCAAAAAAAAAAAAAAAAAAAAAAAAAAAAAAAA